GTAGGGAAAGAAAAGCAAGCAACTGTCTTTCTGTAAAGTTTTTTGCGACACATGGAAGCCTCTCTCCAGTAGATGGCAGAACTTTTAAAATATTTCTGAATTTTATCTAATTTAGAGATCATCCAGTGCTTTCATAAAGACTCATTTTTCTAGGACACTGTGCCAATAGGATGGAATAACATAATCCTTCTATAGTCCTTTCCTTTCCAAAACTTGCTTTCAAAACTGTTAACTATCTTGTCCTTAATTCTGGTAGGACATAAAGTAAGCTTGTTCATTTATTGCATCTACCGTGTTTTGAGGAAGTGAATTACGTTTTCCATAGCCAGGAATAGGATAATATATCCTGAAATACATTGTGATTCTTCTTTTTACTCCTTGATTCTGTGATGGTTTCATTTAAGAACCTTTTAACTCTCTTCTCGTGCCTGCAGTATGTGCGATTGTCATATGACACTAAGCCTGAAGCTATTCTGCAACTTATGCTTAAAGAATGGCAGATGGAGTTGCCGAAGCTTGTTATATCTGTACATGGGGGCATGCAGAAATTTGAACTTCACCCACGCATCAAACAGTTGCTTGGCAAAGGTCTTATTAAAGCTGCAGTAACAACAGGAGCCTGGATTATAACTGGAGGAGTGAACACAGGTAAAGAAGTAGCAATGAATGTGCACAGTTAAATGGATTATGGTTTGTAAGAGCCAGAATATTTAATGAATGCACAGCTTCATCTTAAAGCAAAGTAGATTTGAGTGAGTTTGGTCAAGTAAAAGTAAAATAATACATTTTGAACATGTGTAGTTGCAAGTGGGCTGCTGTTTTGTCCTGCAAAGAGAAACAACACACAGGTGAGGGGAGGGGTTTTGGCTTTTTTAGTTTGGTCTGGGGGTTTTTGTTTAGTTTTGGTTTTTTGAAACTGCAAGAGGAAAGACTTAATGTGATTAAAACAAGTACAGTAGTGTACTGAAAACTCTTTAGTTCTTACTAGGCTAATTATTTTGTTGAATTACTGATACATAGTACTTTGTTTCCTTCTAGTAGATGTGGTATGGTGCTTTTTCTCTGGTGTTGTGTCAAATAAGATCCCAGATCCTTAAAGACCTAGTTAACTAATAAAACAGTTGTATTACTTAATAAGATGCAACATTCAATACATTGAAATATTTTTGTGCACAAACAGGTGTTGCAAAACATGTTGGTGATGCTTTAAGAGAACATGCTTCCAGATCATCTCGAAAGATTTGCACTATTGGGATTGCTCCATGGGGAGTGATTGAAAACAGAAATGACCTTGTTGGAAGAGATGTAAGGATTAACTACCTAATTGAAATAATAATTTACCTGACTTATTTTTTGACCAATCTGCTCAGGCGTGTTTTTTTCACTTGCTTTGCATCATTTGGAATACCTGCTTTATGATGAAGATACATTGACATCTATGACTTATGCAAGATCATTAGTGTAAGCAAGTTGCAAAATGCAAATGTGCTAGAGGAGGAGCTTGTTCTCAAGTTCTTAATCCTTTGTCCTCCCTACTGGTATTACTGATTCAGATAACAAAAATGCTGAAGTATTACAGGGAATTCACATTTACAGAGGATGATATGTAGACATATTGCTCAGGGACATGGTTTAGTTGAGGACTTATCAGTGTTAGGTTAATGATTGGACTTGATGATCTTAAAGGTCTCTTCCAATCTAGGCAATTCTGTGATAAGTTGAAAAATTTTGATGTAGAATCTTCAATGGTACTGTTTGCCAGAGTGGTCACAAGACACCTTTTTGAAGGATCTTTTCTCTGTTATCCTTCAGAACAGAATTCTTTTGTGATATAGTTATCTGTTTTCCTGCACAAAGTTAGGAGCTACAGCTGTTGGTGTATAGTGACCCAAAGCATGCTTATATGTGTCAGTGCTTCTTGTTGAGCCACCAATTTTTGTGTCTAAACAAAAAGTTAAGTTTCACAGAAGCAAATTTGAATCTTTATAAATAAAATACATTGTTGTGTGCTTATACTTAGGTGGTTGCTCCATATCAAACCTTGTTAAACCCATTAAGTAAACTAAATGTTCTAAATAACCTCCATTCCCATTTCATTCTGGTGGATGATGGAACAGTTGGAAAGTATGGAGCAGAAGTTAAACTTCGGAGAGAACTGGAAAAAACTATTAATTTGCAAAGGATTCATGCAAGTAAGTAATTCTGATGCCTGAGGGCTGTTACGATACTTTAATGAAAAACCAAACATCTGAATGAGAAAACAGAAAAATTAGTCTTGTTTATGTTTCAAGTCTGAATGATTATTTTGCAAATTTCAGCTGCTGCTTTGGACCCTAGATATTTCTGTTAGACTTAGGATTTTTCTGGGACCAGAGAGGAGGCTTCTTTTGAATAAAGTTGTCAGTTTTGCTTTGATAAAGCAAATGTATGTCACTTGAGTTATTAGTATGTTGTCAGGCCTTACTGGTCTCATTGATTAATGGTTTGACACTAATCACTTGCAGTTTCACAATAGGGCAACTGAGTTTGTAAAACATCATCTGTGGTTGTGCAAAGAAGCATGTGCTTTTGGTGTTTTCCCAGTTATGGAGCAACATGTGTTTTTTTTCTTTTCTAGGAATGCTTTTGCAATACTCCCTGTCAGTAGAGGGTTTCCATGTAACTATGTTCAAATTATATACGTGTTATCATCTTTGGAAACTCTTTGCGGGGAAGGTAGAAGGGGATTTCCCTAAAGAAAAAATGTTCACTTTTCTGCATTACTGCAGGAATATTTCTGTGAAGAATCTCTTCTGTCTTGTAGACTGTATTCAATTGTATTTATCAGCTTCTTTGCAGTGCTTTCACCCCAGCACAAAGTATAAACAGTGCTTGAAACTGTGCATTAGCAACAGTTAAAATGTCTGGCAGGCAGCATTTTAATTTTCATTCAATATAAGGGACATACTTGATTTATTAAAAATGTAAAATCAATCTTGACGTTCCCTAAAAAAATACAACATTGTCTGGTTTTTTTATTATTTATTTGCAACTTTATAGGAATTGGCCAAGGTGTGCCTGTGGTGGCACTTGTATTTGAAGGTGGCCCCAACGTCATACTCACGGTTTTAGACTTCCTTCAAGAAAGTCCTCCTGTGCCGGTGGTAGTATGTGAAGGAACTGGTAGAGCTGCAGACATACTGGCATATGTTCACAAGCAAACGGAGGAGGGAGGGTAAGTCCTAGCACTGCTAGCCAAACTGTCAGTCCTATGTAGATGGGTTTTGAGACCATTCCTTAATGAATTTGTGCAAGAGCTTTTTCTGTGGAAAGACAGGCTAAAAGCAGAGAGTGTAATATTAGTCTGGCTAAAGACCAAGACTTCTTTTCTAGTTCTAGATTCCTCTTACATACCTTGTATGAGCTGCGCCAAATTCTGTAGCGTATATTTGCTTCAGGGATGCTTACAAAAAATACAGGAAAAGTGTACGCACCCATATCCTAAGTTAAGGGCTGCATCTCGTGTAACTTCAGTTATATGCAGTCATTCTGTTACCCCATTGTAACTAGAGGACCCAATTCTCAGTTTAAATGCTCTGTTGCTTCAACTTGAAATTTTAACCAAGCCACAGTGGTAAATGTGACTGTTCTGAAGAACTGTTCTGTCACTTTAACTTAAGTGGTAAATGTGGCTGTTCTGAAGAATGCACAACAGTTTTGCTCAATAGAAGTCAGAGCTGACCAGACCTTCCAGAGATGTGAGAATAACGTAGAGAATGTTATGTTACCAAACTGCTTGAAAATATCACTTGGCTACATTGAATGGCAATATTTTCATGCAGTTAGCTGCTGCATAGTAGTAATTTTTATGAAAAGGGATCAGAAGGAGCTTCTGTATTGTTTCTTCTGATTAGTCTTAAAACTCAACTTTTTACACACTTCTGTTTAGTGTAGAAAAGACTTGTCGGTTTTAAGTGTAGTTTCAAATAATAAAAGAGTTGTGCTTGGGCTCCACAATACTTAGGGTTTTCTAGTTTTTTGTCAGATTTGCATAAATCCTTAAACATTGGGCCCTTGTTGCAGGGACTGCCTCAGAACCAAGAGGCAGGGATCTAATGTAGCAGTAAACCAACTTTGTCCATAGTAAGATCAGAATCAGGTCTTACTCAGAGGGGTGAGTACTTAGTATTTTGTGTCAAAATATTTTAGTTGAGGGTATCTCAGAACTGGGTATGGGAAGGGAAGGGAGAGAAGCTGAGTTACTTTTTGGAGGCAGTAGTAGAAAGTCCTAGATTAAGCAAGCTCTACTTCTCTCTAAAGTTTACCCAAGGTTTTGCCACTGAAACAGTAATAAGCTTATAGATAACAGGATTTTGAATGGACATGTTGAAACTAATTACATGCGTTGTTGTAATTACTGTTCATGTATAACAGTGTATTTTCCTGTTTGTTTGTTTCAATCTCAGGAATGTTCCTGAGGGTGCTGAGCCTGAAATAATTTCAACCATCAAAAAGACATTTAACTTTGGTCAAAGTGAAGCAGTTCATTTGTTTCAGACACTGCTGGAATGCATGAAAAAAAAAGAACTTGTAAGTAAATCTTGCCATAAATTTTTTTTATGCAAGGTGCATGTATTTGTGGATATAATATTAACTTGTATCTCAATGTTGTATATGATCAAGAGTAATTAAAAAATCTTTTCTAGACATAGTGGATCTTCCAGGTATAGAAGACAGGCAAATACAGTTTTTATGTGTACTTTATCTCATGGCCAAGAGAGATTTAATTCTTGTGATTATTTCTAGTAATTTGAGTTTGTTGTTGTTTCCAAGCCTATTTATTTTCAGATGACAGGATTCTGGTTTGTTTATAATGTGTATGTATTTTGTAATTGGGTTGCTGTCCTTTTTCTTTGCTTTGATTTTTGAAAACCTTGGGACTTCTTTTTATTTTTCTTTTCTTTTCCTTTTTTTTTGGGGGGGGGGGTGTGGGTGTCTTAATTATGACTGTACTAACAAAGGTCTATTATCTCTGTGAGCTTAAAACAGAAGCACTTTATAGAGCTTTATATGTAGCCTGACTGCAGGTACTGGTGTCTCATTTGAACATCATACTCTGCTGTTCTAAGGCTTAAAATTGTCATATTTGGCGAAACGTGTTTTCTGGCAAGTTAATCTCATAATCTAGAACGAACTGGAGGTGTAAACAGAATACTGTGTGGTGTTTATAGACAATAGAGAATTGTAATCATAGTGGGAAAACAAGTTCAGATTGATTGAAGAATGTAAAGGATTTCTGCTATGCTTTTTCACATAAAAGATTGTCTTGCGTGGCACCCAGTTAGGAAAACAATACAGAGTGCACAATAAAGGTAAGTTTAAATTGAGCATAGACTTAAATTGCATTGAAGATAAGGTGATTTTAATGTATTTCAATTCCTGACATAAAAAAAATGGAGCTAATCACCTTTTCCTGAAAATAACTTTAAAATACTTTTCCCCTATTTTACCATTTTGGACAGATTACAGTTTTTCATATTGGGTCAGATGAACATCAGGACATTGATGTTGCAATACTTACAGCATTGTTAAAAGGTGAGACTTTTAATTTTAAGAGCATTTGGAATTCCTAGCTATTGTTGTTTAGTATTTATATGATTATTTATAAAATACTATAATCTGTAGGAATCTTTAGTTTTTAAGCAAATAATTACTATGTTTTCTCATTGTATAATAGCATAATGTGTCATAAATGATTAAATATACTGTATAACTTTGTGGTAGATTGCTTGATTTCGTCTTTTTAGGAAGAAAGAATGCTTATTATCATATATTTTAATTAATTTTTTTTTCCATTGTTTTTTTTTTTCTTAAGGCACAAATGCATCTGCGTTTGACCAGCTTGTTCTTACACTTGCATGGGATAGAGTTGACATAGCCAAAAATCATGTTTTTGTTTATGGGCAACAATGGCTGGTATGTAATGTTTTGGATTGAATAGAATGATATTTTCTAAGAGAGAAACTCAACTTACTGTAAAGAATGAATCTTTTGAGTTTTGTAGAGAGAGACTGTAGAATACTGACACATTTATTTTGAGGACAGTAACTTTTGCATACTGCGTAAGTATGCAAAACAGCTGTTTGTTATTATGTAGTTGAAAATGGTAAAAAAATTTTAGAAATGTGCTGAGTGTTCTTACTAACTAGAGGAGAAAAGACATTGCAAAAGTTGGAAGCTGAATTCATGTTAGTCTTCCTTACAGTTGCATGGTCATAGGAAGTTCTTAAGAAGCCTCTAGTAAAATATATATATTAAGTATTGTTGGCAGCACTGCAGTGTCTTTTGAGGGGGAGGTCAGAATGTCTGTTTCTTCTAGTCTGCAAATTAGTTTGAAAACTACATTGTGGATCCTGCCTTTTTCCCATATTACTGTAAAAATAAAACACAATCTTATGTGAGTGTGCAGTCAAAAGTACTGTAAGGCTTGTTGATAGCAATGATGGTTCTGAGCATTTGTATTTGAAGCAAATTATGCTTTAAATGTTTTATATCTTTGTGTTTCATCCAATATCAATCCATGAGAACAATTTAACTATGTTAAACCAACTGTATACTTAGTCCCATGTACTGTGTCAGTAGGAGATACCTATGGGAGAGAGTATAAAACTTGCTGTTTAAGTCTTCAGAATATTCTCTCATCCTGTAATTGTGTCATGTTCAGGGGATTTTCTGAACCAAGGGTGACATCTTTGTAGACATATAAGGTTTCCCTAGCCCTGGGAATGAATGAGGTTGATATGTAATCTAAGTACACTTACTTTTGTGATGCCCTATTTTACTGGTTCTCTTCAGGCTCTGCCTTGTTACTTATTTGTTGTAGGTTGGCTCTCTGGAACAGGCTATGTTAGATGCCCTTGTGATGGATAGAGTTGCATTTGTGAAACTTCTGATTGAAAATGGAGTAAGCATGCATAAATTTCTTACAATTCCCAGGCTGGAAGAACTTTATAACACAGTAAGTGAATGATTGCTTTTGAAGCTACTTTTAGAACAGCTTTTTAGTTGCTCAGCATGTTGTATACTGGGTCATGTGCACCAGTCTGGAGGCCATGGGGTGTCGATAGGGAAGACTCCCTGGCGTGAGGTTAGAGTTGAGAAGCGCATGCTGTCTGGCTGCTTTGTAGTGCCACAGCTGCTTTCTGTCTCTCCAGAAACGATACCAGAAATAGTTTGTCAGCAGGATGTTCGTCTGTGTCTGATGTCGGGGTAAGATACTAAAGGGAAAATTGCAGCCTTATTGTGGAACATATGAAATGTGTAAACCATAGCAGGGAGGAGAACAGAGAAAGTCAGATGGGTGAAACTTGTGCACAAAATATGAGGTCTATAGATAGTATTGTTAGGACCTCATAAGATGAATTCTGTCTATAGCAGTTGATATTATCGTAATAGTTGTAAAAATATTTCGGAAACCTGTGTAGTTATAAATGTTACTTAGAAAAATACTGTTGTTGTAGGTGTTGATTCAAGAATTTTAAGGTAGTTTTGTATAGCAGTAAGTGTCTAACAAGACAAAACAAGAAACCTTCCAACAAAAGTAGCTGAGTAGTACACAAATATAACTTAGTCTTATGTTAACATTCTCATTACCTGCTTTAGACCAAAACAAACAAACAAAAAAAAAACAAACAAGAAAAAAAAAGAGAAAGGAAAGAAGGAATTCTTAAGCTAATAAAGGTCTGTAAAGGAGCCCATGTGATCAGGTTTTGTTTTGAGTTTTGGTAGGGGTTTTTTATTTGTTTGTTTTTAATTAACCTTTTATGGTGTTGCTTTTACACACTTAGTGGGTTTTTGATTGAGTGTTGACGGAAGCTAGGGGGTAACTATCTCTAAAAGTGTAACAGTTCATGCACTCACAGGGAATCAGAGAAGGAAGAAAAATCCACTTTGGTAAAACAAGCGAATGGTCTGACTAAAAATTTAAAAAGTAAGGGAGCTTTTACTGTGGATCCTACACTACTGTAAACACTAATATCAGTCTGTATGTGTTCCTGTAAAGTAAAATGTTTATTTGTTAAAACTTGTCTCTACAATATTATATTTTAATAATATAAAAAACTCATAACACTGCTGTTTGCATTCTGGGTGGAGGTTTTTTTTCCATTTTTGGACAAACTACGAATGTATTAATTATGTCCAGAATTAAAACAGAAGTAAAATGAAATAAAAAAGGAAA